ACTTGAACCTTCCTCGAGCCTTGCAGCATATTTAACCTTCGCTTTATCAAGAAGTGTCTCCCTTTCAACGGTCTTTGTGCATTTTCCGAACGCGAGATGCTTTTCTAGAGAACAGTGCCGTTGGAAACTGCGCGTGCAGCCCTCTTTTGGACATGGAAACACTTGATCATCGCTTTTTGCTTCACGGCCATAGTCCTCTTCTTCTGCGGGATCCGCTGTGGAAGTTTTAGTAGGTTCTTTAAGTTTTCTCCTTGGGGCGATCTCCTTAAATTCTCCGAGGGAAAAAGTAACCGAAATATTCTGGTAATGGCGTTCTGTGGAAAATAATAACATGTCTCTGAAAAGATTAACGACAAAACCAAACATACCTAAACATTATCCAGAGCGAGATTTCGTGCGTCTCACATTGCGAAAATAGCGTTACAGGGGCCGATCCAGGATTTTTTTAGGAGGGGGTGCACTCGTCTCTTGCTCTTCTTCAACCCCAATAAACCACATATTTTTTTTTGGCAGAATACCAGTTGTATTAGAAAACCGCAGGTCATCTCAGGGGGGAGGGGGGTGCGCACCCCCTGCACCCTCCCCCTAGATCCGCCCCTGCGTTAGGTGCAGCATGTGAACTGCTACCTAAATCAAGTAAAAGTTTCTTTTTCCAGTATAGTGTTTTAACTAAAACAAATCTTGAAATAAATTTTGCAACAAAAACTGGCGCCAAGCATGATGTTTTCAAGTGATCTTGATTTCAAGCTTTCCCTCGCTGAATTTTTCAGTCTCAAAACTAAAGAGAGATCATGCTACATTATAACTAGAAACTGCATAGAGAATATAACGTAAGGTTTACCATTTGTTCCTTCCAAAGAAATGCATTTGCCGGGGCCTATATCAAATGCCTGCCACACCCTCATTCCATCGGGATAAAATCTGAAGTTGTTCAGTTTACTTATGCCAGTAATCTTCTGTTGCGTTGCGGGAACAGTTTCGGGTTCCCCGAGACTGTCTAACATCACTACACGAATCCCAGGTAGACCCCCATGGGATAGAATCGCGTTTTCCATTTCCTTCGCATTGGTAACGTTGTTCCCCTCGTTTATGAATCGTGTTATGTGTCCTTTAATTGTTGCAGCCATGCGATCAGCAGGCCCTTTTCCGCCCTGGGGATCTGAGAAGCCTATCTCAGCAACGCGAATTCCTGCTTCTTTTTCTATTGTGGGCACTGACAATATAGTATAAGTGCTATGGTAGCACCCTGCGTTGTCTTGACGAAAAAATGCTTGATTGATTTCTGGATGCTCTGATTTCAAAGTTCTAAGGATATGTGCCATAATGGAGACCACAGCGGAACTTCCTTGGGTGCAGTTCTGGACAATATGTACAAATCCTTGTGACTCAAACTGGTCAGCTCGGCGGCGCACGACAACGGATATATGCCAAGAGATGCCGCGCTTACCAAACCAGTCTGATTGAGATTCACGGTACTTGCGCGGTAGAAATTTCATGGCCCAGTCCTGGGTAACAAAGACTGAACCACTATTTAGCTCTCTGAGAATCTTCAATCTAGACTGGTCTTGCCTCACTGTACGGAGCTGGTGAGCCTTTTAGGCATGAATATGGTCCCTGCTGTGCTTTACCAAGTATGTGGCTTCGTCATGATCATCTTTCGTGTGAAAAGAAGCTTCTTCAACAGCCACTTGAATCTCCTCTAGAACAATACCAAGCTCTTCACATTGAAAACAATGGTCCCCATGGGTGTGTTGGCATTTCTGCTGAAAACAGCTGTCACTCGGATCACTCAAAGCATATGACATACAATGATCTGCTATGGTAGCCTCATCGTCAACATGTACCTATTAATATACCATTATTTTCTTAGTATGTAAACGCAGAAAAACAAAAACTTAAGTCACTGCCCCCCCCCCACACACACCCCTCATTTCAAATGTGTAATATGGCTTATTATTGCTATTATTGCTATAGTTGTAATTTGTAAAAAAAGACTTAACGCTTCTAAGTTATAAAAGACTGCTTGCAGTCCCCATCTTCTCTTAAAATCCGTCTAGTTCTTATCTCGGCCAGCGCGATTGCAAACCACGACGTTCTCGTTTATCGCGGCTCGCAACTTCGCCGCTCGTGTCCTTGATTTTTGCACGCAGTAACTTGGCAAAGAAAAATAGGAGACTTCTCGCAGTCTAAAGTTATAAAAGTAGCATGGATGACTAGGGTTGGGGTAGAGAAAATCACAGACCCTGAAATCAATAAAAGGGAGAGAAAAAAAGGAGTTGATGAACTTTAAAAACCTGTCAATAGTTCATTTTCGAATTTAAAGTTACCGCTGAATACAAAGCTATACAAACATTAGCGACGCATTCATACACGGTTAGCCTAGACATAAAATGAAATATCCACAAATTCCGGCAAGTCAGTGTTTGAAATTTAAAGATACACAATAGATGGAGTAACAAACAGGTCTTCTTCTCGTTAGATGGGAATTTCAGATGGAGGCTAAGCCTGTAAAAAAATGCTTCTTCACTTCTTTCATTTAGCGGTCATAGCAAACTTGAAACTGGACTATTATTTCTTTAAGCAATATCTTACCTTGAAGTCCGCCTTTAGGTAAAGTTTTGAGTTCTTGAGCATTTCCTGCCATCCTCCTAGCGTGGTATCTTCAACCAGGCCTTTAAGTTGATTTAGGAGTGCAATCATCTTGTCAAATGCAGAGGCTCCATCAGCTGCAAAATAGTCCAGTCCCTGGAGGCTCTTTCTGACCGTCGCGCTACAAGCAGCTAATACACGCAGTATTGTTCTTTTACTGAAGGGGGTGAATCCGACTTCTTTGCAATACTGCTCATATTGAACAGCAATTCGCTCTGGTATTAGACACTGAATCACATTTGGTACTTCCAATACATTACCGTTGGACAGGCGTAAACTCTTTTGACCAAAAGGCATATCTTGAACAATATGTGGGCTTGTAATGAACTGCAAAAAATGATCAAGTTGCGCCTCGTCTATCCGTATCCTCGCTGAAGGCTGCACAGGAACGGGTGTCGCTACTCCGTGCTGAAGACGATGTAAGTTTGCCACAGTGTATCTATACTGGGACAGACCGGGAATAAATTCTCGTATGGTAGAAAAACTCGCAGTGGCAGCCATAATTGAGAGGATTTGTCTCCGCGTGTCCCAGCTGCCGGCATTTTTGTACGTTTCTGCTATGGCCTCGAGGTAAAGTCGTTGGGATGGGAGCATTATACCCTCTGCACCAAGCTCATCATTGACAGCCCTTGTTGCTTGGAGTGCCGACCAAAGATAACCTGCGTTTTCGGGGGACACCACCTTCAACACTGCGATGATGATATCTCTAGTGTGTTGTATGTACCTTCGTTTAGTTCTATCAGCACTCTTTAACCACTCGAATTGTGGATTATCAACCGTTTTTACGTCACACTCAGAAAGGAATTCATTAAGCAGGCTTAAAGGCTTGTTGGCACGAAGAACCACTTCACCGGAGCTAGTTGTACTTGTGGTTTCGGATGACCCAAAAATGTAGCTGTCGTCAAATGAAAGGTGTTTTACATTGTCACATATATCTTCTATACTACTTGCCTCGGCTTCCTATAGCAGGGAAAAATATGAAAACTAATTAAATGATCGCAAACTAACGCAGGATACTGATTAAACCTATAGACTGCCTATCTGTTTAAACGACAATTACCAATAAAAACGTTTCCTGTCTTTTCTGTACGGACACGGGTTCAACAACAACTGTTGGTGAAGATAAGGCAGTTTCTGTAGAGTCCGTAGAAGTAGACACCATCATTTTACCCAGATGATCCCTGCATTGCCTGCAAATGGCTACAGATCAAAAAGAAACAAAGAAGAGTTAGGGACCGATCGTTTATTACGTCCGGGGGGGAGGGTTCAGAAAAGTGTGGTGTATGAAAACCGTACCCCCCTAAAATAATTTCATATGAAAATTGTACCCCCTCTTAGCGATAAGAGTTTTTAAAATGCACCCCCCCCCCCCCACCTTTCCTAGACCAAGTTTTAAGATGACTCGACTTTCTCTCTTTCTTTGGACATCGACTTCATATTAAAGCTAGATGGGGTAGTTCGGTTAGGTAAAAATAGTTGATAGGGTCCTGGGACAAGCTTGGTTACATAGCAACCAGGCTGCCACGAAGGCGAGGGCGTGATCTCTGATCATAAATACAGTGGGCACAATAATTCTGTGCGGGTAGAATTTTGTAGCCGACAAAGAGTCATCAGCGCGACTTTTTGGTTTACTAATGAAGGAAAAGTGTTTTTTGTTTTTGTTTCAATTATGATATGTGTTAACAACTACAACATATAATGTCAATTCTGTGTCTTAAAATTTCGACCCCCCCTACACTTTTTACATTTTCAAAACTGACCCCCCAAAATTAACCCTTTTCAAAAAATTGTACCCCCCCCAAACCCCTCCCCCCACGGGACGTAATAAACGATCGGTCCCTTAGGCACGGATAAATTAGCATGGTAATAGAAGCGGTGGTATTCTAAGTCCTTCTCACTCATTAACGCTCACTCGTTCTTTAAGGTAACCTGCAAGGGGATAATTCGGGGTGGGAACCCGGGAGAATAGGGGGCAGGAGAGGAAATCACGCAACAATGCTTTTAAATATTTCGCAATCGAAGAATGGATAAAGGAAGGAAGCCAAGCAAAAAGGGCGGAAGCCGGGAAAGCAAGATACTCGTACGGAACGCGGCAGGTGACCCCCTGTTCCACCCCTATATGGCTCTTCGGTCGGCTATTTGCTCCGCAGGAGAATTTCCAGCGATACTTTAGGCAAGGAGAGAGACCACTGAGTTAATTGTCTGAAATATCGGCCGTTTGTTGGTGTTCCTCATCCTCTTGCGCACATTGCGTCCGTTTCATTTGTGAAAGAGGGTCAAAGCAATAAGAGTATATTAGATTAATTTTACATACTTTTCCTACTAAAGTAATGTAAGGTTTGACTACACTTACGCGACCCAACTGGGACGAGCATTCCAGTTTCTTTAAAAACAAAACAAGATTGTTTTCTGTCAATTCCACGATCACCTCGACAGGTTGTCGACTTGTGACCCGCTACTTCTGCTGGAACGCAACATCTAGTCTTGCCTGTTCGCCAGCGAGTACCGTACGCGTCTCTGTGTTTAGGGCATACCGTCATATGCAACTGACATTCCTGTGCGATGAAAATCCCTGGTAAAGAAAACTTAATTAGTAAATTAATGCTGTAGAAGTGAATAGTGGGTATGTATTCATGTCGTAATCGAAAATTGTAAATCAAAATGATCTTTACTAACCTGCCCGTGTGAGTAATAATTTCCTTTCGTTGTTGACGCTTTCAACATCCGTCAAAATGTTACAACACTTCAGGTGAGCTGTAACATCCCTAGTACAGTCTTTCAATTCGACAAAGTCAGCCACGTTTGGATTTTCAGAACTTGCACCACAAGCCCCCCCAAGAAGAGAAGCAAAGCTACAGAATGACATCGTTTTCTTTTTATGGTTTATGCTCTGTGAAAAACCTCGCACGTGTTTACCTTTAAGAAAAAGACCGTGATTGCATCATAGAAAATTATCGCCCAGACTGCAACACGGCATGATTGCTAACGTGACTTAAGTCCTTTTTATCACGTTTTATGACATAAATGTGGCCATTTTTCAGAAAAAGATAAGAGTGAATTGCGAAAAAAAAAAGTTGGGCTGCTAACTTAAGGACCTTGAGGTGAAAAACTACACAGCAGAAGCTTGCGGTGTTGCGTGACTTTGTTTACTAACATAACTTTTTTCAAGATATCCAAGATATATCACAACCTGAAAAATATTATCGCAGTTGCAGAAAACGTTGCTATTCCACTAAGAATGATGTCCATAATAAACACCTAGTCAACAAAAATCATTAAATGGTGAACAAAACAGCGGCCCTTCTCCATAGTTAGGTGTAGTGCTGTTGAAATAGCGAGTCAACATTAACAGTCTCCTGCAATTCAAATTATCGTACCTACACATCAATTTACAGCCTTGTTCAGCAATGTCTACGGATTTTATATCGTATAATTTCATATCATTTCCATATCTAAGAATTTTTTAACCGTCTTTAACTATCTTGTTTACTTCGTAGCTCTCAAGTACGATTTCTACAACTGATTTGCATCATGCAAATTCCTGACCTTGGCCACAGTGCGACGAAAACGCTTTCATTTTGCAGGCACGTTTCTGGATTACCCAGATTTTTTATTTCATATTATTTGAGTATAAGGACCAAACTTTGTGCCAGCATGTAGTTTGACATGATGTCACACATACCAAGACGCGTTTTGAAGGCTTGAAGTTACGCGATTTTTCGCTTTTTTCAACAAGCGTTTGACAGCACTTTGTTGAAAAATCACGTGAATTTTAAAATTAAACCAAAGCTTCTTAAAATGCCACAAATAAAAATCAAATGAATTATATTTTGAAGTAAAAGCATCCCCGATTTCTTACGAAACATCCTTCTTCAGTACTAGCACACTAAAGTTGGTCAATTTCACTGTATTTTTTGCATAATTAATTAGGTAAAAACCCGAATTTTCGTTTTTCCCCATTTTCTCGGAAACACTTGATTTTTCAAACTTTGAAATATTTTTTTGGAATGTATCTCCCTAAAAGGGTTTTCCAGGCAAATTATCAGAATTTTCGATTTTTTTAGCCTGGCCAGCGATTCTCGATATTTACAGTCATGAGCTCTTAAGTTCGCAGCAAAAATGAGCGAAGATGAACTAATTAGATAAATGTTTCACTGAAAATTGGGAAAACGTCTACTAGTCAACTGTATTCGCGTTATTTTGTCGTTTTTCTATGCCGGCTCTTAGCAACGGCTTTAGAATACGGCCTTTTAATCGTGTCCGTGTGTTTTCACTCTAGCCACAAACACAGAGAGATTTGCAATCACGTTTCGGAAGGGAAAAAGGCTTAAACTTCAAGAAATAGTGAAGAAAAATCCCACAAGGTACTCATCGTAGAATCTGTTGAAAGAGACGATGAAAAAGCGCAGTACGCTAGCTTCAAACACTTCGTCATTTAATGACTGCCTTCGCTTAACATGGGTAAGTACTTCCTGTCAAGCCATCATAGAGTTTAAAGTTGTCCGTTTTCGCGACATAAGTCCTGGGCGAGTACTCTCTTACATTAACTTTATAGATATTGTTCTGAAATAGTGAAAGACTAGGAGAGCCGGACGGTGCACCCCCACTACGACTTCCCAGAAATACACCCCCCCCCCGGGAAAAAAATGTAACTCATTCTATAAACTGGGATGCGCCACAGGCAGCCCAGTTAATTACGCGGAGCCGCTCTTAAACATTCTTTTTCTACGTTACCAAGCACAAATTTTAAGACAAATAATACAACCATAAATGTCTTCTGAATATTTTTTCGTTTTCTACTTTTCTTCAACAGGTATGATCTGTAACATCAAGGGCGTCAAAAAAGTATTTCGTAGAAAGAACAGAACGACTAGTGTCATGATCTCAAACGATCCTGTGAATTATCTGAAATAAGAGAAAAATACAAAGATTTTTCAAAAATTAAATTATTTCGTCAAAGTGATAACATAGACGTAAGCGAAAAAATGGTAAAGAAAAACGTGGAATCGTATTTTTTATGAACTTTAAATTCTAATTTTTTTTCTCCTTCCCCGTGTGGTCCCTATGGCTTCCACGAGTCAAGTCAACGCTTTTAGAGCTTCGTATTTCCTATTTAATCTCTAAGCAAGCGAGATTTAAAGCTTTTAAGAGCGTTCTTGTTTCCAAATGTTTTCAGGTCATCCATGTAGAATAGGTGATTGATAGCAGATGTACTTGTAGTGTAACCGTAACTGTTGCTGTTGAGAAGAGAGGATAGCGGAGCAAGAGCAATGCAGAAGAGGAGAATAGGTAGAGGACCACTTTGAAATTTGCCACTATAGATGTCAAGGCTTTTTGATATCTAGGTCATGGGCACAGAGTTAAACTCCTTTTTGTAATTTAACTAGGCTACTGATAGGTTTCTTTTCTTCTTTTATCTTCCTCAATGATGGCCTATAATAATAATAATAATAATGATGATGATGATGATGATGATGATGATGATGATGATGATGATGATGATGATGATAATAATAATAATTATACCTGGTTTTTTGAAAACCGGGCTACTAAAAAATGTCAGTCTCTCGCACTGATTGTTAATTTGATGGCCCTTGTTACTTGAAAAGTAAAATCTCACCTCAAAAAGAAATTATTGAATACATGAGCTTCCATTTGATAGAATCGTCTGTCTTGAAAGTAACAAAACTGAAGTTTTCCTTATTAATCTGGAAAATAAGGCATTTTAAGAAGCAATTTTTAGTGTCGGTGTCACCGATTGCAAAACCAATTCCCCAGTTCACCCCATTTTTAATTGAAGCTGGTCTCCCAAAAACAATCTAAGCCAACATTGCTAAACAAAACCAAGTCCTAAAACCAGCAGTTCAACTGCTCGCTGACTAGGAACATTATCAACAGAGTGGGTCATTGCTTGCATAAGAGTGCAAAAACACATCAAACTTTACAACAACCCCACTCCCCTGGAATTTAACCAGGCTACCCCAAATGCATACCACACGATAGCCCCGTATCTGTGCAACAACATGGCACCCAGCCAGACACAAACCCCCCTTAATTTGAGGGAGACATTGAGCTTTGAAAGACAGGGGTAGCCCCGGTACAAAAACTCGGCGAATCCTCACTCTAGCACAAAGCATAGTCTTTACAACAACCCCACCCCCCTGGAATTTAACCAGGCTACCCCAAATGCATACCAGATAATAGCCCTGTGTCTGTGCAACAACATGACACCCAGCCAGACACACCCCCCACCCCCCTTAATTTGAGGGAGACATTGAGCTTTGAAAGACAGGGGTAGTCCCGGTACAAAAACTCAGCGAATCCGCACTCTAGCACAAAGCATAGTCTTTACAACAACCCCACCCCCCTGGAATTTAACCAGGCTACCCCAAATGCATACCAGATGATATCCCTGTGTCTGTGCAACAACATGACACCCAGCCAGACACAACCCTCCCTTAATTTGAGGGAGACATTGAGCTTTGAAAGACAGGGGTAATCCCAGGTACAAAAACCCAGCAAATCTGCACTCTAGCACAAAGCATAGTCTTAAGAACCCTCCGAGCAAGAACAAACCAGTGCAAAAGTTAATTGCAAAATACGTAGTCGACTGCTATGAGAAAAGAAGATCATTAGTTTTTTTAGGTTAACATTGATTATAGTTTCACTAGTGTGCAATTTGTGTTATGATTTTAAATTATTTGGATAAAGTCGTTGTACGTAAGACTGTATAAGACTCCAAATAAAGCATTGTCTTGTCTTGTCTTGTCTTGTCTTACAACAACCCCACCCCCTTGGAATTTAACCAGGCTACCCCAAATGCATACCAGATGATAGCCCTGTGTCTGTGCAACAACATGACACCCAGCCAGACACAACCCTCTCTTAATTTGAGGGAGACATTGAGCTTTGAAAGACAGGGGTAAGCCCAGGCACAAAAACCCAGCGAATCTGCACTCTAGCATAAAGCATAGTCTTTACAACAACCCCACCCCCCTGGAATTTAACCAGGCTACCCCAAATGCATACCAGATGAAAGCCCCATGACTGTTTAAGAACATGACACTTAGTTTGACGGAAGCCTCCCTCAAAAAATATTAGCTGGGCCAATAGGCCCCTAGTGCAAATTTTCTGGAATTTGCACTGATTTCTGTCACTTCCAGGAAGTTATTTGGAGCCCATGGTTAAGAGGTGAGGGTGGTTAGTCCTGAAGAGCGAGATTGTTATTTTTACACTAAAAGTATCAGGGCTTTAAGCAAATTAAGTTTTGAAAGATTGCCTGCAATGTGCTGGACTTGACTTAAGATTTCAGGCAACCTGGTTTTCAAAACTCCAGGTAGAATTATTATTATTATTATCATTATTATTATTATTATTATTATCCTCCGTAAACACAGGCTTGACTGGAGTCCTCCTTAAACATCAAGTCACGTATCTTGACTTTAGGTGTCCAAGACTTTGCGAAGGATTTTTGCTGTACCGAGTAAGCACGTTCTCTGCAAAGACTCTAAAGGACATGTGACACCAATCTCTGCTAACCACTTTCTATGTCTTTCGAGACAGTTCCTTATGCACCAATTAACTACCATACTCTGCCAATTTCCAGATCCGTTTCAAGTCCGCTTCAGGTATTCGTAGTCCTCACTTTTCTCTTTCTCTTTGTCTTTCACCCGGGTGTCAAATGGACATTATCATTATCATTATCATACACTATTAATATTATTATTATTATTATTATTATTAGTGTTATTATCAAGCCGAATTTATGAAAATCGTACCAGCTGGCTATTCTAGGTCATACAGTTTAACTTGACTTAAGTAAGTGAAATATTGTACAGAAACTCAGCTCTTACCCATAAGCCTTCT